TTATGCTATTAAAGTTGTCCCATTATTTTTTCTCCCCTTTATCCCCCTCCACCTGGTACCCTCATTTCCTCCAGCAATCCCCCCATCTTAGTTCATGTCCATGGGTCACACATATAAATTCTTTGGCTTCTCCATTTTTTATACTCTTCTTAACCTCCCTCTGTCTATTTTGTACCAACCATTTATGCTTCTTATTCCCTGTACCTTTTTCCCCATTCTCCCCTATCCCCTCCCCACTGATAATCCTCCATGTGATCTCCATGTCTCTGATTCTGTTCCTGTTTTAGTTGTTTGCTTAGTTTGTTCTTGTTTTTATAGGTTCAGTTGTCAGTAGTTGTGAGTTTGTTGTCATTTTAATGTTCATAGTTTTGATCATCTTCTTTTTCTTAGATAAGTCCCTTTAACATTTCATATAATAAGGGCTGGGTGATGATGAACTCCTTTAACTTGACCTTATCTGGGAAGCACTTTATCTGCCCTCCCATTCTAAATGATAGCTTTGCTGGATAGAGTAATCTTGGGTTTAAGTCCTGACCTTTCATGACTCTGAATACTTCTTCTAACTCCTACTTACTTGCCTGCAAGGTTTCTTTTCAGAAATCAGCTGATAGTCTTATGGGAACTCCTTTTTAGGTAACTGTCTCCTTTTCACTTGCTGCTTTTAACATTCTCTCATTTCTAACCTTTGGCATTATGATTATGATGTGTCTTGGTGTGTTCCTCTTTGGGTCCAACTTATTTGGGACTCTCTGAGCTTCCTGGACTTGCACGTCTATTTACTGGGGGAGTTTTCCTTCATTATTTTTTCAAATAAGTTTTCAATTTCTTGCTCTTTCTCTTTTCCTTCTGGCACCCCTACAATTCAGATGTTGGAAGATTTAAAGTTGTCCCAGAGGTTCCTAAGCCTCTCTTCATTTTTTTAAAATTCTTGTTGCTTTTCTTTTTTTTTTAAGATGAGCATTTTATTTTTTTTATTTTAAGATTTTATTCATTTATCTTTAGAGGGGAAGGAACGAAGAGAGGGAGAGAAATATCAATGTATGGTTGCCTTTTATGTGTCCCCTGCTGGGAACTGGCCTGCAACCCAGGCCTGTGCCCTGACTGGGAATTGAATCATGATCCTTTGGTTCACAGGCCTGTGGCACTCAATCCACTGAGCTACACCAGCATGGGCTCGAATTCTTGTTTCTTCATTCTGTTCCAGTTGCATATTTATTTCTTCCTTTTGTTCCAAATTGTTGATTTGAGTCCCAGTTTCCTTCCCTTCACTGTTGGTTCCCTGTATATCTTTCTTTATTTCACTTTATATAGTCTTCACTTTTCTTTATTTTGCAGCTGTACTCAATCATTTCTGTGAGCATCCTGATACCAGTGTTTTGAACTATGCACCTGATAGATTGGCTATCTCCTAGTTGCTTAGTTCTCTTCCTGGAGTTTTGGTCTGTTCTTTCATTAGGACCACAATTCTTTGTCTCAGTGCCCCTGTAGGTTTAAGGTGAAGAGCCTTAGGTTTTTGCTAGGGTAGGACAACCATCTATCCACATTGTGGTGCTGTATGTGGGGGAGGGGTTAGAGAGGAGGAAATGCTACTTGCTTGGCTCTTGCCCTGCTTTCAGTCACTTTCCCTGCTTCTCACAACAAATCATGCCCTTTCGGGTGCTGCTGTGATGTTGATTCCCAGGTGGGTAGGCTTGTGTACATTCTAGGACTCCATGGGCCCCTCCCATGTACTCTTCTGTGAGACTGGCCATTTCTTCCACCACCACAACCCCCACAGATTTTTACAGCCAGAGATTTTGAGGCCTTATTTTCCTGCACTGAAATCCTGGGTTGCATAGTCTGTCTCACTCCCCAGTTGTTCATTCTGATTTACCTGCATGCGGATATGCAGAAAAGCTCCTAGTCCAGCAGCCATTACCTCACCCACCTGGTCCACCAGCCACTGCCTTGCCGTGCATCCTCTCAACCCCAGCTGCCCATCCACCCCTCCTACCAGTCTGGATGAATGTTTTTTCTTTTTTTAAGATTTTATTTATTTATCTTTAGAGGGGAAGGGAAGGAGAGAAGGAGGGAAATATCAATGTATGGTTGCCTCTCGTGAGTTCCCTACTGGGAACTGGCCTGCAATCCAGGCATGTGCCCTGACTGGGAATCAAACCGCAATTGTGTGGTTCGCAGGCCCATGCTCAATCCACTGAGCTACACCATCCAGGGTGAATGTTTTTTCTTTAACTCTTTAGTTGTCAAACTTCCATACAGTTCAATTTTCTGGTAGTTATTGTTGTTTTTTGTTTTTATATTTGTCGTTATCCTTCTTTTGGTATATGAGGAAGCAAAGTGTATCTACCTATGCCTCCATTTTGACTGGAAGACTAGCCAATATCCTGAAGAGGCTTCCAAAATGATTTTGAGAGTGAAAGCGGGGGCAGGGACAGGCATAAGTCATTACTGTTCTGGGAAACAGGGATGGGTGCCTGAATCTTACTTCTGTCATCTTTATAATAGAGTTCTGGGCTATGAGAAAAATTCCTAGACGTCTTATCTGAGGATAGATCACCATACCCAGGAAATGCGATTAAAGTCCTAAGAAGAAGCATATGGTGAAATTAATGTGTTTATCAGAGAGTGGACTCTGCATTTACTAATCCATGTGTCCTTGAACCGAATGAGCACAGCTGCTTCCATAAGTAGGCACATGTGAGTAGCAGTAGACATCAAAACAAAACCGAGAGCCCAATGCAAAATCCAGCCATAAAGTATGAACACCCTGCAGAAACATTAGCAGCGTCTTCCTCCCACAGGTCAGCCTGGGAGTCATTTCAGAGGAAGGAGGACAAAACCAAGAAAACAACCTTAGCAGCAAAAAGAATTATTTAAACAAAGCCACAGTCAATGCAACCTCAGTGACCAAGAGCGCCTCCTCTCCTAGGCATGTGAAACACATTAAATGTCAGTAAATATTTTTGAAGAATGTGAATTCTCTAGGTAAAGTAACACATGGTAGAACATAGCTGATTTCTCTAACCTGCTGCCAGTCTGCATTTTTCTTTACTTTGTAAAACATCAGGATTCTAACTGACTCATTAAAATTGTCAGTGGTCAAGAAATATATAACAATTTTTGTAGAAGACTCTGCTTTTTGTCTGTCCCAATCCCCATTCCTCCACAGCTTCAGATGAAGTGGGTCCCCCCCCAACAGGGTTATCACATGACCTGAGCTATATAAGCTAGTTCAAGTACCCCCATGTCCACACTCAGGTCCAGAGATGGCAATATGACTGGAACAAGGTCACAGTACAGTTTTTCTGGGATTGCAGCCATCACTGGGCATGTTGGATTTCTAAGCTGCCATAATACATCACTACGAACTGGGTGGTTCAAAACAACGGGAATTTACTCTTTCTTAGTTCTGGCATTAGAAACCCTAACTCACAGCATTGGCAGGGCCGTGCTGCCTTTGAAGCCTCTGGGAAAGAACCTCTCCATTACTCCTGCTTTCCGACGGGCCCCAGCACTCTTGGGCATTCAGGGGCTCGTGGCCACGTGGCTCTGATCTCTGCCTTGGTCGTCACGTGGCCACATCTCCCCTCGGTCTCTGTGCCTGAGTCTTCACAGGCGCTCTCCTTTCTGCGTGGGTCTCTGTTCTCTTCTCTTTTTATAAGGAGACCTGTCACACTGGACTAAGGGCCCACCCTACTCCAGCACGATCTCTTCTTAACTCACACCTCAATAACATCTACAAAGACCCTGTTTCCAAATAGGGTCACAGTCAAAGGTACCAGGGACAGGACTTGGACATATGTATAGTGGGGACACTAGATGAGAAGGAGCTTCTCCCACTGAATGCCACGGAAGCCCACCCACCCACCTGAGAAGTAAGCAAACGGAACCAAGAGATAGAGAAAGGCTGGAAAGGCAGGCTCCTAATGTGATTCAATTCCTGGAATGTGTCTGTATCAGGAGCCCCATCCTCCTCTTGGGTTTCCCAATAGCATGACCAACAAAATGACTTTCTTACTGAAGTGCATTTAGGTTGAGTTTCTGACACAGCAAAAAGTTCTAATTCATACAGCTACCAATGAATAATACTATATAATGAGACATCAAGTAGCTTCCCAAAATCTGGGTGGTGAAGAGAGGGTGGGGTATATAAGAAGAAGATCGGCCATGAGATGATAACTGTTGTAATTAAGTGATGGGTACTGTTACATCATTCTTTGTATCTTCACATACACGTGAAATTTTCCAAAATGAAAAGTTAAATTAAGTGTTAAAAAACAAGTTTCCTCAGGACTCATGCTGAAAGTCTGGCACAATTTTGGGGCTTCTTTTTCCGTGATTGGAAGAAACAGCTGAGAATTTAACACTTAGCAGTTCAAAAGCCACGTTATCATCTGAGTTTCAACAAAGAAAAGTGACTCTAGGGTCCAGAGCAGCACTGACGAGCCCTACCAAAATCGAATCTTCTGTCGCTTTGCAGGAAATAGCAGGAACCTTGGTCTACGGACAGTGCTGGCCTACCGCACTTCATCTCTGCAAACAGCATGACAGGCTCCTCCTCCACCACCACCCGCAGCCCATGACGGCCAAGCAAGTGTGAACCCTACAATCCTGCATGTTTTCTTAGATCGCACCAGCCCCTGTAGCAAATTCCAAGAGAGCGTGGAACTCCATCCTGCTCACTCCTCACAACCTACTTTGAACCTCTTGCTCCAGCCCACTCCCATCCCCACCCCTGTCCTGGCCCACTCACCTTGCCATCCTCAGACTCCGCTTGTTCTATCCATGCCTCATCCCTCTCACTGACACTCCAGGTGTCACCTGAGCTAGACTACCTTTGGTACGGACCCCTGCTGGCTCCCCTCTGCCCTGGGGTCATACTTCCTTCTCCACTGCCACTCTGGTCAAGATCTCCAATTCCTCCAGCATCAACCAGAAGGCAACAGAGTGAAAGAACAGACAAAAATAATTCCTACAGACAGGACTGGGTCTGTTCTTACCTTCTGCAAATGGCTCCCATTCATAAAAGCGGCCCATGAATGGCTTGTTGTTGTAGGATGCGCACTGTACCTCCCGAATACTTCTGCTGCTTTCTGGACACACCTAATAAAGCAAACAGTGAAAATGTAATTAGCATCTCTCTCTCTATATATATCTTTTCATAGCCCCAGCAAAATCCCAGGAGACTGCTAGAACTTTAAATACTAGTCTCCCCTCTACTGAAACCAGGATTTCTGAAGCAAATTCGCTGATTACCTACATAAAAAAAATTTAAATGCAGATTCCAAGACTTCACTCCAAGTTTACTAAATCAGAACCTTTGTATAGACACTAAATTTTTGACACGCTCCCCAGGTTAATGTTTTGTACATCATGGTCTGAACACCACCAACCTAGACCTTCTGCTCCTGGCAAATTGGCCTGCTCGCTCCCCTCAGAGAGGTCATCCATTTCCATCTTTGACTTTGTTCATGCCCTTCGTGTTCATGGGATAATATTCCCAGAAAACTTGCACAGAGCCCTACCGTGTGCAGACACTGCTGTGCACACATTACACATGTTAGCTCATCTAAAGCTCATGACCGTCAGGGAGGCAGATGTGAGGGTTCGCAGACCTTCCACACGTGAGCAAACTGAAGCCTGGAAGAGCCACCGGGGCTGTGAGGACGGAGGCTGGACTTAACTCCGGAAGGTCGGGTCCCTGCCAGACTGCGTCTCAGGGTCCTCCCCACCGTGTCTAAATTCTCTCTACCGCCTAATGCAGGACCTCCCAGCCTTCATCATGCAAAAGAATCACCCGGAGATCTGGGAAATGCAAATCCCGGCATCCTTCCCCCACGGATTATCTTTCAGTAAGTCTGGGATGAGGTCCAGAAATCTGTATTTTATCAAATTATCCAGGTGATTCTGATACTCTAGACTAGTCAAAGAAAACATCCAGCTCCCTATGCCTTATTTCTGTTTTATTTGTAAATGCTACAAAAGAGCAAAGAGTGACATAAAAGATGTGAAATAAGAATCAGAATCTCTCATTCAAATCATGGGTAAAGTATGATCGAGCATTTTTAAAGCTAGCTGCACTCTGTTTAAGTGTGGAGTGTGTTTTAATAATCAGAAAGGAAAGAAATCTGGCCCCTTAAATATTAAATAAAAGCCCTGTATGTAAGAATTCTTTGGAATAAACCGCTAATAAGACAGCTCAAAGTTCTGAAGGATTTACAAAGAAGTCTACGGTACGTGTCAGAAACACCAGGTTTCCTGGAAGGCAAGAGAATGGGGCTGGGGGTTGGGTGGTGCACGACAGCAGGGTGGGGGGATGAAACCAGGTAGCTGGAGATCATCTCCTGCTCAGTAAAGGACAGTCAGGGAGGCTGCTGGTACAGCACGCAGGGTGCTCAGGACCCTGCTGCAACCCAAGCCAAACCACAGGGAACAAGAAGCCATGCGAAGCAGAAAATGATGGAAACTGGTGGGGAAGAGGTTGGGGGCAGGCTGTGCTCCGATATCAGTGAGAAGCTGATAGGCCGTGGCTCTAGAAGGGTTCTAGAAGCCCTACAGCCAGAACCATGTATGCTTCCAGCAACAGCAGCTGTCTCCATAAAGGATCTGGGGTTGAGATGCTCTTCACAACACTTTGGCCAGAACCAGAATTCAACTAGGATGTAATTGGATGAGTGACTTGGGGGAAGTCACCATCCTTGCAACCAGAAACAATTGCTAAGATGTCTGTTAAAAGTACAGATTCTGGGGCCTCACCCATGGGAGGGTGGGGAAGAGGCCCAGGAATGGGTGCTGGAATTGCTGCCTCAGGTGATTCTGGTGCAGCCAGCCCGGCACCAGACTGCATAGCCACACCCAAACCTCAATCTCACTCTAGATTCCTTAACGTGCAATCACAAAGCGATCCAACCCCTTGGGTGTACTGATGAGAAAACCAAGGCCTGGAGGAGTGGCATATTTTGCCAAAGGTCCCACAGTGACATAGAGACAGGGCCCAGAGAGCTGTCACCCACCCTGGCTCTAATCAAGGACCAGAGATTAGAGCAGAACTAGTGACCTGACTGTCCCGTGCCTCACATAACCACACCCACATAAAGCCACCCTGCTCTGCCGCCAGGCTCCAGCCAGAAGCCACCCTTAATTAACCTGGTGGCGGCTACCAGAATTGGAAGCTGTGGACCAAAGTAACTTGGTCTGTCTGCTCAATACCCTTCTTTTCCTCAGCAAAAATGGTGCCCATAGGCCAAACAGAGAGCCCAAGCACCTTCAGAGTCAGTGTGAAGTGCTCAGTATTTGATTATATAAATGTTTATTTACCCACAAGCAATTAAGTGAAAAGTGTTAAAATGATTACAGGGTGTGTGTGTGTGTGTGTGTGTGTGTGTAAACAGACCAAGAGAGAGAAGTTAAAAATGTTATCTCTGGAAGGTGGGTCATAGACATTTTCTCTTCACAATCAACTTTTGGTTTATTTGTATTGTCTAATGTTTCCACAATAAATATGTAATAGTTACATAATAAAATTTACCAGAGTTGAGCTCTTTCAAGCACATTTGATCCTAAGCCCTTTTGCATGTGCTTCTAGTTTATAATCTCATGGTGGTTTTAATGTCCACAAACACCTGGCGTAGGTGTACTTATTACATCCACACACATCTGCCAAGCCAGCCAGTCACCTGTGGTAGATGGGTCACTCAGGGTAGCCCGCCCCTGGTATCAGCAAGTTCTTTATATCTGAGCATGGTCCAGTTACCACCTCCTGAGGCAGGAGAATTCAGGCGGCATCAGGTCCACAGCAGGGAGTCACCTACAGTTGCCAGGGGGCAGCCAAGCTCCGAGATTGGCCATCCTACTATCAGTGAGCATGGGAAGGTACAGCAGGAAGTATAAAGTGCCCTGGCGGGTGGGCATGGCCCTGTGTGTGACCCTGAGCAGGGACCCCTACGATGCCGGGCAACCTGCCAAGTAGAAGCAGGGCGCTACTTCCTGGGAAGGAGAGGGATCTAGTCAGAGAAACATAAGGCTCGCAAGGCCCAAAGGTGGAAGTGAGTTATTAAGACAGAATTATGGCACAGGTGAGGAAGCAGCTGAGGTGATGAGGGTGACGGTGATGGTGATACTAAGAACAGATCACTTTTACTGAGCACTGACTATGAGAGGGGACTCCCCCAGAACCCCAGAATTATCTTCTGGAGGGTGGGCCTCTTGTGGCACAGGCTTCCCCTGCTAGGTGAGTGTTCTAGGAACCCACCTGTATCAGTGTGCCAGCTGGTGTTGTTGTGAGAGGCTGCATTCGGCTTCAGTGAACTTTTTTTTTAAGACTCTCAAATGGATTTGCCCATTTCATGATGGGTGATTTGTGAGCACACCTGCCCACACCAGGCTGAGTATGGAGCAGTTTTTGGCCAAAAATGGTCTGGGCCCTCCTACCCCACCCTCCTTATTCATCTGATCTCATCCCGAGTGACACTCTTCTGTTGGCGTCCCCAGATGAAAAAAGCCATCAAAGGTAAACATTTTGTTGATGTGGAAGACATGAAACAAAAAATGGCAGAAGCACTAAAAAGCATCAAAATCTATGAGTTAAAAACTGTTTTGAGCAGTAGAAAAAAATGTCTCCATAGATGTATTGCATCGAATGAAGAGTACTTTGAAGGTGACTGAAGTTTAAACATGGAAGAATAAATACAGTTTTTTCATAAATAAATTTTTTGGTATCCCCTCATAAATATCAGACACTCCATCATGTGATTTATGTATATTAGCTCATTTAATCCTTAGGACAACTATTATACCCACTTTAGAGATAAGAAAGCCAAAACAAAAAAAAAAGTTAAATGAGTTGCCCAAGATTATGGGACTAATAAGTGGTGCAGTTGGGATCTGAACCCAGGCACTTGGGGTCTAGAACACATGTTAGTAACCACTATACCATGATGGCCCTTGAGAGTATGTGGACAGGAAAGTTAATAAGCTGGGAGCCGAGGGTGAAAACCAAGCTGGCCATGGAAATTCTGTCTCACATCTCCTGTAGATTAGATCTGTTTTTACTTGTTAGACTCTTATCAGTATATGATCTCCTTTCAGTTTACAGGCTCTCTGAAGTTAAAAATTCCAGGTTACAGGTCATCTTACATTTGTTATATTTTAAGTGGGCTGTTTCCTGATGCTGTAGACTGAGTCACTCTCAGCTTATCAGTAATTGTTTATATATTACGAGTTAGCTTTGGGCAGATTTTCTGCAGACAGCTGATCCCTTCCATGGACACAGACTTTTGGAATTTACAGGCCAGAAAACTGAGACAGGGAGAAAGCCATGTTGCTAGAGAGCAGGCTGACTCAGGACGGGGCCAGGGAAGAGCGGTGCTTCACAGCCGAGTAACGCTCCAGGACACGGCCTCTCTTCAAAGGACTCCCTTCTGTGCAAAAGAGGAAGGGATGTTTCCATTGGTCGCTTATGGAAAGAGAAGTAAAGATGCACTTTAATACAATAAGTTGAGTCCTTATAAAGCACTTCAGGCCCTATCCGAAGTTCCACCTAGACCACTGCTTGGGGTTGCTATGAGTCACAGAGTGTTATGGAATCTGGGGCTATGTTTCCAGTGACCCTGGTCGGAGATGACAATGGCCGTACCTAACTTCATCGCTCAAGAGGCCACTGTTGGTGAGCACACACTTACCTTTGGTTAATTAATTACTTTCAGTTCCCCAGGAGACTACAGAGCAGCATCCACAATGAAAGTGGCACCAAGAGACATGACCTTGGAGTGTGCCTGGGTGAAATGGGCAATTTTTTATCCTTTGCATTGCTCTGGATTTGATCAAAAGACCAGCTATCATAGCAACATGCGATGCATTTATCATCACCACAGTGAGGAAACCCAAAAAACAAAATCTAGAAAATATCTCTGCACTGTCATGAGAAAGTGGCCATGTGACCCTGGGCAAAGCACTTTGCTGATCTAAACCTATATTACCACTCCCACCTCCCGGGTATTTTTGTGAAAATTAAATTAATAATACATTAAAGTTTCTAGCCAATAGCAATGCTCAATAAACGTTAGCTGAATCAAGAGCTAAGTGGATATCAAAGATGAATCCAC